CAATCTCTAAGATATGAACAATGTAACCATATCACTCGATCTAGAATGCTTAATCATAATTTCATGAAGCCACAAAAACACAAAAGTTGAAATCAAAGTGATTAACTCTTTAAAAGAAAAACAAAATAATTAGCAAAAAAAAAAAAAAAAAAAAAAAAAAAAAAAAACATGAAACTAGAAAAAAATAAATAAAAGAACAATCATGGTACAACAAATAGAAAAGAAAATTTAACATACTCCCGTATAATTTTTGAATTAGTCATTAAAAAATGAAAATTAAGATTTTGTTATAAATTTCAAAATGGCAATAGTTTATAATTTTGGGATACGATATGTGGAGTGTGTGAGAGAAAAATTAAAAAAACTCTGTCCTTAGTTTTCTTTTTTATAACAAAATTTAATTATGTAATTAAGTCTTTCATAATTGTCCGATCTTTTGTCATTTTATATGAGGGTCTTTCTATAATAAGAACTTTAAATTTAAAAGGAGTGTGAAGAGTAAAAAAGAGTGTAAAAAAAAAAACAAAAAGAAATTGTATCTTCCTTCTTCATTATCAAATTCCATCAATTACGAGATTTGTACATATTACAATACTCAGCTTAATTGTATATTCATTTTAGGAGATTTTGTAGGAGATTTGTTATTCTATTTCTTTTTTTTTTTTTTTTTCAAAAGTATTATACTGGATCTTGTTATAGGTTGTTGGAAAGTAAAAGCTTCATTCCTTTTGAAAAATAGGCTTAAAATGTGTAATGTGTTTAATGAGTAGGCTCCAAAATAGAAAGTTTCAATGAGTAGACCTCTTATTAAATGAAAAAATGTGTATTCCCTAAATGCCCTTCTCCTTTTCTCTCAAATTAAAAGAAAAAACGTTTGAAAAGGAGGAGCTAAATCCCCTCCTTCGCTGGGCAGTCACGAGGAAACGTTGCCGGCCAAAGTTCACCGGCGGCGCCGCCTTTCACCGCCAGAGAATGCCCCTACCTCTGGTATTCTCTCAAATCTTGTATTTTTTATGCTAAATTCATTGTTTGAATGCTGGGTAATCGTGGTTTGATATTTTATTTGAAAAACCAACAAGAATCATGCTATTTCATGGCCTCTTCGGAGTTGAGTAATCTGCAAAATCGAAAAAACTCACGTCTGTCATTTCTTTCCGTTCTGACTGGTGGGAGCGGTAAGAAACCTGAGTCCAGTCAGAAAGTTCTTACTGGTGTGCCCTGTAAGAAAATTGCCAACCGGTCTTTCCAGTAAGAAAGATCTGATCGGGCATAATTTTGCCTCTCTTTAAGGTGATCCGTCGTTTTTCCCTCCCCATTTTAAGGATATTTTGGTCATTCACTCTTATCCCAGGAATAAAAAAAATGAAAATTGAAATTCCATTTATAACGGGTCTACGAATTGAATGGGTGTACATTTGGGGCCTATTGACTTAAAAAATCCCCCTGGGAACCAACAATAATTACTAAATAATAGACGAAACAGTCGAATTCAGCTGTTTCTAATAAAGAACATTAATGATTTTCTGCGGATTAATCTTTCTCATAGGCATCATGTCACTCCGTAAAGTAGACAAATCATTCTCCACAAGAAACAAGTCTTCGTCTCTTTGAAAACACCCCCCACCCAGTATAGTCTCTTCTAATTAATACGATAATGAACAATATATGCCGATTTTTATCCACCTAAAATCTTATCACTATAGAATAAGAGATCTAAGTGAACATATATATTTTTTTTTATCACTATAGAATAAGATAATGACCAATAAATCATCAACGTTGATTTTTGTCCACCTAAAATCCTATCTTTATTCTATCTAAGTGAACATATACATTTTCTATTATGAAAATACTAAAACTATAAAATATAAGAAAAGAATCATTACTGGAGAGGTACAGATCCTTAAAGCTCACCCTTTTCAGTGGAAAAGATTGTTGAATTTAAGATGCAGAAATTGTATATATGCAGTTTAGCATCAACAATAATGAAATTTGGCTGGTCATTTTACATCAAACCCCATGCACGTCCATTTTCTTTATTTAAGCCTGTATAATACATACACACTAAAGCTCACCCTTTTCAGTGGAAAAGATTGTTGAATTTAAGATGCAGAAATTGTATATATGCAGTTTAGCATCAACAATAATGAAATTTGGCTGGTCATTTTACATCAAACCCCATGCACGTCCATTTTCTTTATTTAAGCCTGTATAATACATACACACACATATATATATATATATATTCACTAGAAGAAAAGAAAGTTTTAGCGGGGGAAAATTTTCCCCCTAACTTGTAGGTCCCCGCTAAAAAGTTATTGCAGGGAAACAATTCCTTGCTAATTCACCGCTATAACTTGGTAGCTATAAGGTAATTACCGCAAAATATTTCCTCAAAAAAAAAATAAAATAAGTTGCCAGAACATAGTGTGTCATAGTGTCCTTTAAAAATTTCTCAAAAGCCAAATATTGGCGCTATAACATCTTTTTTTTGTTGTGCGGGGTTTTAGAGGCGAATTTTTGCGTAACTGCAACCGTAATTGTACCAAATCGTCCAAAAAGGGCTTTGAGTGGATCCACCGGCGAAAAAAGTTGCCGCTACATGTGTCTATAGTTAGGAATTGTTTCCTCGTTATAAGTCTCTTCACTAGTTCATTCTTTGCTTGTATTGGGGCAAAATTTTTCGCCGCTATATACTGCAATTCTTTTTAGCGTGCTAGAATGTCTTTAATTGGGTTCAGAGAGGAAAAAACATGCCGCTATTAATATTAGTAGCGGCAAAAATTTCGCCGCTAAAACCTTGGTAGCTAATACACTCAATTCTTGTAGTGATTCCTGTATTTTGATGTTTAACGTTAGCTCATTTCTCTTTCTTGATTTTGGGTTACTACCAGATTTATAGTTGTAATATTCTTATGATCATCAGCTGAAAATCTTTATTTTGAAAGAAAAGAGAATACAATAATAAACGGAACAGAGCTTACTTAGGCACTAATTATTTGGTTAATAACACGTAAAATTAGGGCCGGCAATATGGGTCACGACACGACTCGAAAA